AGCAGGCCTCTTGGGGGTGGCTCTGGGAGGCATACAAGCTGGGTGGCCATGAGCAATGGCCCTGGCTGCCCGTGCCCGCTTCTCATCCCCGTGTCTGGCTGTGCAGGGGCTGCTGTATGCGGCCTCGCACTCGGGCGTAGTCCAGGTGCCTATGGCCAACTGCAGCCTGTACCGGAGCTGTGGGGACTGCCTCCTCGCCCGGGACCCCTACTGTGCTTGGAGCGGCTCCAGCTGCAAGCACGTCAGTCTCTACCAGCCTGAGCTGGCCACCAGGTGAGCATTCCCAAAGGCCCCTTCCCATCTGTCCAGCACTGCACAGGTGGCTTCAGAGCACCATCCTGGGCCCTCCTCGGGACTGCCACATGGCCTTATTTATGTCCACTGTCTCAGCATAATTATTAATTAGCTCTCCTGCTTCCTCTCAAGTGCAATTCAGACAAGAAGTTATGTGTTTGTCTTGGCTACCTGTGAAATGAGGACATGATTTGGTTATGTATGAAGTACCACAACTTTGAAAAGCCTTGCGGAAAAAAATGTGGATTAGCATGTGAACGTGCTTTAGTAATAGTAGGGCTATGAAACAGTCCGTTAACAAACCCAGTAAAAATTGGTTTCAGAATAACCTATTTGGGTTATAAAATGTTCATTTAGAAAATAGGGATGAACACAAACAAAAACTACCTCTTATCCCACCACCTAGAGAGAATCACAGGGAGATTTTGATATATTATCCTCTCAGATTTTACTACATGTGTGTATAGAAAACAAAAATCCTTTTATTTTGTTTTATTTTATTTTATTTTACTTCATTTCATTTCTTTTTTTTTTTTTTTGAGACAGAGTCTTGCTCTGTTGCCCAAACTGGAGTGCAGTGTCGCAATCTCAGTTCACTGCATCCTCTGCCGCTGGGTTCAAGTGATTCTCCAGCCTCAGCCTCCCAAGTAGCTGGGATTACAGGCGCCTGCCACTACACCTGGCTAATTTTTGTGTTTTTAGTGGAGGCAGGGTTTCATCATGTTGGCCAGGCTGGTCTCGAGCTCCTGACCTCAAATGATCCACCCACCTTGGGCTCCCAAAGTGCCAGGATTACAGCCATGAGCCACCGTGTCTGGCCAAACATTCATATATTTTATATAACATTGGGAACTCTCCTGTTTGTAGTGTTCTTGCTTCACATATGGATACACCTGGTGTCAGTTTTTACAAAAACCAAGTGAGTTTTGGTGCGTATGCCAGGAGGGACACCCCAGAATGTTAATTGTCATGATCACTGGCTGGTAGATGCTGTGATTTTTGTAGTGTTTTCATCTTTCATGCCTGGTTGAGTTATCTGTCTCCTGAGTGTATCCAGAATTACTGTCCTTTATTTTTTATTACACAGATAAATGCATGTGCATTGTTTTTAAAAAAAGATGAGAACACATCAAAAAAATTTTTAATTAAAAAAAAGAAAAAAAGAGAGAGATTTATACATACAGATCCCAGCTGTCCTTCCAATATTTTTCTGAGGGTACATACTATTTTTTATTATTATTTTTTGAGACAGGGTCTCTCTGTGTTGCCCAGGCTGGAGTGTAGTGGTATGATTACAGCTCACTGCAGCCTTGACTTCCTGGGCTCAAGCGATCCTCCAACCTCAGCCTCCCAAGTAGGTGGAACCACAGGCGTGCGTCACCATGCCTGGCTAATTTTTCTGTTTTTTGTAGAGATGGGGTCTCGCCATGTTGCCCAGGTTGTCTTGAATTCCTGGGCTCAAACGATCTACCAGTCTTGGCCTCCCAAGGTGCTGGGATTACAGGTGTGAGCCACCGTTCCCAGCCACTGAGGTTACATACTGTTTTTATTTTATTTATTTTTTTTTGAGACGGAGTCTCGCTCTGTCGCCCAGGCTGGAGTGCAGTGGCGCAATCTCGGCTCACTGCAAGCTCCGCCTCCCGAGTTCACGCCATTCTCCTACCTCAGCCTCCCGAGTAGCTGGGACTACAGGCGCCCGCCACTGCGCCTGGCTAATTTTTTTCTATTTTTTAGTAGAGACGGGGTTTCACCATGGTCTCGATCTCCTGACCTTGTGATCCGCCCGCCTCGGCCTCCCAAAGTGCTGGGATTACAGGCGTGAGCCACCGCGCCCGGCCTACATACTGTTTATGTAATTAAGGGAAGTGTTATCTTAGCTTTGACTTGAAATAATGTGTAGACAGAGGAGATGCTGACTCCTGTGGGTGGGGAATCAGCTCAGGAAAGGCCCTTACCCAGGCCCAAGTCTGCAGTGAGGGGTGAGGGAATGCGGGCTCAGCAGACTTCCTGGCCAATCCCAGAATTCTCTCTGGTCCTCAGGCCATGGATCCAGGACATCGAGGGAGCCAATGCCAAGGACCTTTGCAGCGTCTCTTCGGTTGTGTCCCTGTCTTTTGAACCAACAGGTGAGGTGTCCCCTCAAAAGGTAGAGGAGAGAGGTGGGGACAAGTCTTCTTGGAAGGCTCCCCCAGGCACAGATGTTGTAAATGCCTTTCCTCACATCCTTGCCCTCTACCCCTGTAAGCAGGTCCCCAGGAAGACTTAGTCCTGGGGTCCCCAGAGTTGCCCATCATGGCACCAGGGGCATAGCCCAGAGGGAGGCAGGGGAGCTTGGAGCTACTGTGGACACTGGCACCTCCCTACCCCATGCCTTTTCTGCCTGCAGGTGAGAAGCCATGTGAGCAAGTCCAATTCCAGCCCAACACAGTGAACACTTTGGCCTGCCCACTCCTCTCCAACCTGGCGACTCGACTCTGGCTGCACAACGGGGCCCCTATCAATGCCTCGGCTTCCTGCCATGTGCTACCCACTGGGGACCTGCTGCTGGTGGGCACCCAACAGCTGGGGGAGTTCCAGTGCTGGTCGCTAGAGGAGGGCTTCCAGCAGCTGGTAGCCAGCTACTGCCCAGAGGTGGTAGAGGACGGGGTGGCAGACCAAACAGATCAGGGTGGCAGTGTACCCGTCATCATCAGCACATCGCGTGTGAGTGCACCAGCTGGTGGCCAGGCCAGCTGGGGTGCAGACAAGTCCTACTGGAAGGAGTTCCTGGTGATGTGCACACTCTTTGTGCTAGCCGTGCTGTTCCCAGTTTTATTCTTGCTCTACCGGCACCGGAACAGCATGAAAGTCTTCCTGAAGCAAGGGGAATGTGCCAGCGTGCACCCTAAGACCTGCCCTGTGGTGCTGCCCCCTGAGACCCGCCCACTCAACGGCCTAGGCCCCCCTAGCACCCCACTTGATCACCGAGGGTACCAGGCCCTGTCAGACAGCCCCCCGGGGGCCCGAGTCTTCACCGAGTCAGAGAAGAGGCCACTCAGCATCCAAGACAGCTTCGTGGAGGTATCCCCGGTGTGCCCCCGGCCCCGAGTCCGCCTTGGCTCAGAGATCCGTGACTCTGTGGTGTGAGAGCCGACTTCTAGAGGACGCTGCCCTGGCTTCAGGGGCTGTGAATGCTCGGAGAGGGTCAACTGGACCTCTCCTCCACTCTGCTGTTCGCGGAACACAACCGTGGTGCCCAGCCCTTGGGAGCCTTGGAGCCAGCGGGCCTGCTGCTCTCCAGTCAAGTAGCGAGGCTCCTACTACCCAGACACCCAAACAGCCATGGCCCCAGAGGTCCTGGTCAAATATGGGGGCCTGCCTAGGTTGGTGAAACAGTGCTCCTTATGTAAACTGAGCCCTTTGTTTAAAAAACAATTCAAAATGTGAAACTAGAGAGGAAAGAGACAGCATGCGCACATGGCCGCTCCAGTTCCCAGGGGCGCTGGGGATGCGTCCAAAGTGGTTGAGACAGAGTTGGAAACCCTCACCAACTGGCCTCTTCACCTTCCGCCTTATCCTGCTGCCACTGGCTGCCCTGTCTCACTGCAGATTCAGAACCAGCTTGGGCTCCGTGCGTTCTGCCTCGCCAGCCGGCCGAGGATGTAGTTGTTGCTGCCATCATCCTACCACCTCAGGGACCAGAGGGCTAGGTTGGCACTGCGGCCCTCACCAGGTCCTGGGCTCAGACCCAACTCCTGGACCTTTCCAGCCTGTATCAGGCTGTGGCCACATGAGAGGACAGCGTGAGCTCAGGAGAGGCTTAGTGACAATGTACGCCTTTCCCTCAGAATTCAAGGAAGAGACTGTTGCCTGCCTTCCTCCATCTTAGCGTGAGAACCCGTGTGTCCCTTCCCACCACATCCACCCTCTCCATTTTTGAACTCAAACACAAGGAACTAACTGTGCCCTGGTCCTCTCCCCAGTCCCCAATTCACCCTCCATCCCTCACCTTCCTCCACTCTTAAGGGATATCAACACTGCCCAGCACAGGGGCCCTGAATTTATGTGGTTTTTATATGTTTTTTAATAAGATGCACTTTATGTCATTTTTTAATAACGTCTGAAGAATTATTGTTTAATCCTGGCTCTTCCTCTTCAAGGATAGTTGCTTTTGGAGGTTGGTCTAGTTCTCTGAGTTCTGAGGGGTTCTGAACCTTCTCTGTGCAGGGTCTAGTGAGCCAGAGTCAGCCTAACCTGGCCAGCAACATCTCCCTGTGGGGCGGCTCTGAGGTGGGGAACTTAAGCCACTGATAGGCAGAGGCAGGGGGTTCATTGCATTTACCTCAACCCCTTTATTCTGCATCCCCAATTCAGTTTAGCAAGGGTAGGGACACAAGGGTTGGGATGGGATGGGATGGGGGCCCTTTGTTAAAGTTTTTAATTTTTCAAATCGTGTAGTAAAATAGACTTTATTGATGTACGGTTCTTTACATCTTGACACCTGCAGAGACTCATCTAACCACCACCCCAATCAGGATACAGGAGAGCACCACCCCTCCTGCTGCCCCTTCATCCTCACACCCTCCCACGGGGACAGCCAGCACGGGTGTGGCTTGACTTCCCACTGGCCCCTGCTCGATATGCTGCTTATTCCTAGGATGATCGAAGGCTCCTAGAAGAGAAGTCCAGTCCTTCCTCACACCATGTATCTCATATCACACACAGGGTCAAACTTCTAAACCTTTATTACTGATTAGTACAAACACAAACGGAGCAATGACAATGGTAGTGAGGAGAGGCCCTGACAAGGAGGGCTACCCCTGCCTGGGGTGAGGCTGCACAGTGCCAGCTCCAGGCTGGGCCAGCGTGGTCTACGCTGGCAACACAGGCTTGATCTTGGCCACAGCTCAGCAGTAGAAAGGTTCTTGGACAGGGTGCCAGGACACACGCTGGGGCTGCTGTCACAGGACAATCTTAAAGGAGCTGAACAAGGGAAAAGGGGTGGGTTTTCTGCTGGAAGAGGAGGGTAGGGACTAAACCCAAACTTGACCCCCCTTCTCCCTTTAGACCCTTCTTTGGAACGAACTGTGTCCCGTGTGTCAGCCCACTCTGGAAGAACTCCCTGAGACATCCAGAGGGAGCTTTCCGAACCCCCACACAGGGTCAGAGCTTCTAAACCTTTATTACTAATTAGTACAAACAGAGCAATGACAATGGCAGTGGGAAGGGGAGAGGCCTTGACAAGGAGGGCTGCCCCTGCCCGGGGAGAGACTGCCAGCTTAGCCGGCCCTGTGTGTGTGGACTGGGGCTTTCTCTCACCCTGGCACCACCTCCTGTAGCAATGTCCTAGGCCCAGAGGCAGCAAATTGGGACCTGCAGGTACCCAGAATGCAGGGGCACCACTGTCATACCTGGCAAAGTCTGGAGAACGGGAGATGACGTGCTGGAACTCAGAGAGGTTGATGGTTCCATCCCTGTCAATGTCAGACTCCTCCAGGATCTGGGAAAGGGAGAGTTTCAGGCCAGAGCCCCAACCCCTCCCTCCCACTCCCAGGCCCAGCTGGGGCAGGGCCTGTTCAGCTGCTCACGTTGTCGATGAGCTGCTTCATCTCAGATGCACTAAGCCGTGTGTCCTCGCCCTCTCCCGTGAGGCAGTTCACCAGCCGGCTCAGGTCTTCTCTGTTCAAGGTTCCATCATCATCAAAGTCTAGAGAACAGACACAGGAAGCCAAAAGACACGGTTGGGAGGGGCTCTGAGGTTCCACAAGCATGCCATTTCCCAAGCAGGGCCACCACAAAGCCCATGTGGGAAGGGGTGGTGTCCTGCCGGGCTGCTCCTGGTTCTCACCGAAGATGCGGAAGGCATAATGGGACTTGATGTCCGGCGTGGCTGTGTCACTGAACACACTGAGGAGGTCCAGGAAGTCCTCAAAGCTAAGGCTGTCTCTGGTTGGGGAGGTGGAGAAGACCCTGCAGATTCGCTCCTTGAAGGGGTTGGCCTAGGAGAACAAATGCCACAGGATGTGGCCCAGGTCACACACTCATTAAACCCTACCAGAAACTTGAGAGAGCAGGTCACAGGACCGGCACCAGTGAGCTCAGGCTCATGGGCATGAACGATCAGTGCTTTGGGGCCAACATGAAGGGCAGTGGGGGCACAGGAAAGCAAACTGACCCAGTTAGGGAAAGGACTGATATGGCTTCCTGGGAGTCAAGTGTTTAACCCAAAGGCAGGTCACATACAACATAAGTGTGGGCAGAGAGGGAAGAAGTCATCCTAAACAAAGGGAACGAGATGGGCTGGTTATTTTAAAACACAAATATTTAATTGAACAACTATTGTGTTACAGGCACTGGGCCAGGCCCTTTGCACAGATATTTTGCAGCAGCCCCACGGAGTGGCAATCAGCCTCTAGAACAGGGTTCCTCAAACTTTAATGAGGTAACTCAACTCCTTTTAAGGGATAAAACTTCTCTGAACTTCCAAGATTATGTTCTAGAATCCCCATTTGAAAAGCACCATTCTAGATAATTCTGCCAGGTGATTTTGGTCAAGTCCTTGTCCCCAGAAAATTAGAACTAAGCAGAAAAATGACCAGAATGGGGTCCAGTGACCCCATGATCTCAAAGCTAGTGGCAGATGGAGTCAGGGGGGTCTAGCAGGGAGGGAGTGGTGGGAGAGGTGTCAAAGAGGGAAGCGCTTGCACCTTGAGCTCTGGAAGGCTGAGAATCTGCTCGAAGGGCACTTGTGCCAGAAGTGACTCCTCCACGCTCCGCTGCTCCTGGGGAAGCAGCTCACAAAACCGCCTGTGGGCTCTGGTAGAGAGAGGGGAACTGTCGGTGTTCTCAGCGATTGGTTTCCCTGTGTGTTCATTCCCACTCCTTGCCTGCTGCTCATTATCAACCAGGTGAGCAGCTAAAACCACATGCACAGAACTTCCGAGTCATCAGGCAACAGTAAGCAAAAGGACATGTCACAAGGCAGTACAGCCTAGGAGTCTTTTCTTGCGATGAGTATTTACTGAGCATCTACTATGTGCTGGGCACTGATTCTAGAGATCCCTGAGGGATGAAGAGTTGGGGAAAAGGCCAGAAGTTGGCCCTAAAGAACTGGCCAGGCACGGTGGCTCACACCTGTAACCCCAGCACTTTGGGAGTCCAAGGCGGGTGGAGCATTTGAGGTCAGGAGTCTGAGACCAGTCTGAGCAACATGGTGAAACCCCTTCTCTACTAAAAATACAAAAATTAGCTGGGCATGGTGGCCGTTGCCTGTAATCCCAGCTACTCAGGAGGCTGAGGCAGGAGAATCACTTGAACAAAGAGGCAGAGGCTGCAGTGAGCCGAGATCGTGCCCCAGCACTCCAGCCTGGATGACAGAGCGAGACTCTGTCTCAAAAAAGAGAGAGAGAAAAAAAAAACAAAAACGGAGAAAAGAGCAAAACCAAAAATCTCATTCTCACCATCACTCCAGGGATCTCTTGCCCTCAAAGCCTCCTTTTTAGCAGCCACCCTGAACTGTCCTCCTCCTCTGCCTCTGCCTCCTTCCCATGAGATTATCTTTGCCGCAGGAAGCCCAGGCACCTCCTCACTCAAAGTGCCCTGGCCTGCATAAAATCTGGCAAAAGGGCTTCCAGCCCAAGTTCAAATCCATTTACTCAGAGTGTTGTCTTAAGCAGTTATCAAACCTTTCTGAACCTGTTTCATTGTCCAATACCTCTCTCCTAAAGATTAAATTAGGTAATGCAGGCAACAATGTAGCACAGTCCCTGGCACATGGTGAGTGCTCAGAAAGCGATAATGGTTACTGTATTATTCAGGTAAAGTTGGGAGAAAGAGCCAGGCTCCCCAAGGCTTCTGTGGTTTAGCCACCGGGCAAGATCGGCCCCTGCCGGACTGGGGCAGGAAGTTCGGCAGTGCTGAAGCTAGTGGAGCTCAGGGTCAGAGAGCCTAACTTTTCCTGGAGGCTGTGAGGTGGCTCCGCGGTGCCACGCTGGGGCCTCAGGCGAGGGCGGGGAGGGCGTGCCGGGAGAAGGGCGCAGCCCGGGCTGGGTCTCCTGGCCTCCAGTTCCCGGTCCTCTGCAGACCTCAGGCCAAGCCCCCGCCCCTCCCTCGGGACGGCGCCCCCGAAGCTGTCTCTAGAGGATCCCGGGGTCGGAGGCGGGGTTCAAGGCAGCACTTACAGGAGGATCTCCTGCTTCGTCAGGAACGTCAAGTCCTGGAAGGCAAAGCGAGAGCTGGCATTAGCGGACCGCTGGGAGGCCGCGGCCGCCCCGCAGCCCGCTCCGGACCCGGCTCCGGGGAACAGGCCCGCACACGAGCTCCCTAGGGCCAGGCGTCCCGCGCACCTGGTACTCGGCCAGCAGCTCCTTGGACAGGCGACTGCCCGAGCCCCCCATCTCCCCGCCGCGCGCACAGCTCCGCCAACTCGCCTCGAGACGCAGACAACTTTCTCACTTCCGCCCTTGGGCCGCGTCACTGCCCGGTCCCCGCGGCAACCGCTCCTGGGGCCACCACCCCCGGGCCCGCCCCGTCCTAAAAGCGCCCAGGCGTTCCCAGCCGGGTTTGGCAGGCGAGCCGCCGGTTCCGACCGGTCCCTGGCGAGCGGGAGGCGGGGCCCGGGGAGGGGCCCGACGCTCCGGGGCGGAGCCCAGGACTCACGGCCCCGCCTCCGGGGTGGGCGGGGGCGGGCCACGCCGCGCGCGTGCGTGCTGGCTGCGTATGCGTCACGGGAGTCGTGACCTCGCTGTGGCCCCGGCACCGGCTGCAGGGAAAGTCGCGAGGTCCATCCGCTTCGGCTGCAGTAGGTGGTGGCGGCGGCAGCCCTGGGTGCGGTCCCGTAGGAGCGTCTGAGAAGTCACTGGAGCTAGCGTTTCCGGGAAACCTGGAGACTCGCTGAGTGGCCGAGGTCGTCGGCTGCCCCTCTGCCCAGCAAGGGCTTTTCTAGATGTTATCATCAGGCAATCGCTGCACCTGTCGCAGCCCCCAAGCCACCTCTTCCAGAAGTAACCATAACCTTGCTTCATTCTTAGGCTATTTACTGAGGACACACTGGATGTGAAGCACTGTGCATAGTTTTCTTCCATTGTTGCAACATCCCTTGCAAGGTAGGTTCCCATTTTACAAAGATGGAGGAAATACGTAAGTCCAAAGGGTTTTAGTGATTTTTCCGGGCTCAGGCATTTAGAAGGTGATCGGTCCAGTCCAAGGCACCTTTAAAGGCGCTCCACTGCTCTTGTCTTCATTCCAGCTGACCTGCTGTCCTTTTGACCCCATCTCACCCCTAGGCTGCTGACCCGTTTGCTCTTGTCCCCTCTTAACCTCTAGAACAAGTTTGGCACATAGTAGGCTTTCAGTAAATATTATCGAATGCATAATAAATGAATGAACGTATACTACTGCAAAAGGTAAGGATTCCAAACTGCTGGGAGGAGGAAGTGGAGGTTGTTGGTCAGGCTGGGATTAATTCTTGATCCTTCCAGTCCATTATACTTGCTGATCTTTGTAAAGTCTAAATCTGAGCATGTTAATCTCAGTTTATAATCATTAAATGGTTAAAAACCCAAATCCTGGCCCTCTGTAACTGGACTTGCTCCTATTGGCTCTCTGTGTTTCAGCCACGTTGGGCCCTCAGTCCCTCTTCCATCTTATCCTCAGGGAAGCCTTTCCTGACTCCCTAGACTGCCTAGGAATCTACTTTACACTTGAAGAATACCCATTGCTTCTCCTTGGCAGCATGTGTTTAATAAGACCCACTGTATTAATATGTACATTCCGTCACTATAGAAATATTCAAGGCCAGGCGTGGTGGCTCATGCCTGTAATCTCAGCACTTTGGGAGGCTGAAACAGGCTGATCACTTGAGGCCAGGAGTTCAAGACCAGCATGGCCAACATGGCAATACCCCGTCTCTACTAAAAATACAAAAATTAACCAGGCGTGGTTGAACCTGGGAGCTGGAGGCTGCAGTGAGTAGAGATTGTGCCACTGCAGTCCAGCCTGGGCAACAGGGTGAGACTCAAAAAAAAAAAAAAAACCTAGGGTATAGACTCATCCCAAGCTGATCATTTTTCTCTTAATAGCAGACTCTTTCTGTCCAAGAAAGAGTTAGTCTTCTGTTAGTAAAAGCTTAGGCAAAAAGCAGGAAGCTGTCATTACGTCTCCTGTACTAAATAGACCTTGTTTGCCTCTTACAAGCCAAGGCGAATACCTGGACTGCATGGTAGTAAGTATCTCTCTCTCTCTCTCTCTCTCTCTCTCTCTCTCTCTCTCTCTCTCTTTTTTTGAGACAGAGTTTCACTCTTGTTGCCCAGGCTGGAGTGCAATGGCATGATCTTGGCTCACCGCAACCTCTGCCTCCCAGGTTCAAGAAATTCTCCTGCCTCAGCCTTCTGAATAGCTGGGATTACAGGCATGCACCACCACACCTGGCTACTTTTGTATTTTTAGTAGAGATGGGGTTTCTCCATGTTGGTCAGGCTGGTCTCAAACTCCCAACCTCAGGTGATCCGCCTGTCTTGGCCTCCCAGAGTGCTGGGATTACAGGCGTGAGCCACTGTGCCCGGCCATAAGTATCTCTTTATAGTGAAGACATGAGAGTCAGTTTTGTGCCTGGTGACTAGCTATGATCTAGATCTCTCAGCCACTTCACTTGACTCTGAATCCTTCATGGAACAACCTTCTGGTTTTCATTTTGCTTCCTGATTCATTTTGTACACTGACCAGCCAGCAAGAACCTTTTGTGCCATTTGGCACATTTCTCATTGTAAATTATTATTATTTTTCAGATAGAGTCTCACTCTCACCAGGCTGGAGTGCAGTGGTATGATCTCGGCTCACTGCAACCTCCGCCTCCCGGGTTCAAGCAATTCTCCTGCCTCAGCCCCCCGAGTAGCTGGGATTACAGAAGTGCACCACCCAGCTAATTTTTGTATTTTTTTTAATAGAGCTGGGGTTTCACCATGTTGGCCAGGATGGTCTCGATCTCCTGATCTCGCGATCCGCCTCCCTCAGCCTCCCAAAGTGCTGGGATTACAGGCATGAGCCACTGCGCCCGGCCTCTCATGGTAAATTATTAAATGCACAGTCTGAATCATCTGGTAGTCCTTGGTGAATCTGGTTAGCATATTGTCCGTCCTGTACCTGATCAACTCTTGGTACAGTGATAAAACCGAACTGCTGATATACTTCTATTTTTTATTTTATTTATTTTTTTGAGACAGAGTCTCACTGTGTCACTAGGCTGGAGTGCAGTGGTGCGATCTCAGCTCACTGCAACTTCCGCCTCTTGGGTTCAAGCGATTCTCCTGCCTCAGCCTCATGAGTAGCTGAGATTACAGGCGCCCACTACCACACCTGGTTAATTTTTTTGTATTTTTAGTAGAGACGAGGTTTCACCACATTGGCCAGGCTGGTCTTGAACTCCTGACCTCGTGATCCCCCACCTTGGCCTCCCAAAGTGCTGGGATTACAGGCGTGAGCCACCGTGCCCGGACTTCATTGTAATTTTCTTTTTTTCCTTTTTTGTTTTTTTTGAGATGGAGTCTCACTCTGTCACCAGGCTGGAATGCAGTGGCACAATCTCAGTTCACCACAACCTCTACCTCCCAGGTTCAAGTGATTCTCCTGCCTCAGCCTGCCAAGTAGCTGGGACTACAGGTGTGCACCCATCACGCCCAGCTGATTTTTGTATTTTTAGTAGAGACAGGGTTTCACCATGTTGGCCAGGATGGTCTCGATATCTTGACCTCGTGATTCACCCACGTCAGCCTCCCAAAGTGCTGGTCTAGGGATTACAGGTGTAAGCCACCGCACCCAGCCCCTCATTGTGATTTTGATTTGCCTTTCCTTATTAATGATGTTAAACATCCCAAATGTGCTTGTTGGTCATCTTTATATCTTATTTGAAAAAATGTCTAAGATTATCTTTTTTTTTTCTCCTTGTTTTGGTTTTGTTTTATTTTTATTATCTCATTTTAAATTTTTTCACCTGTTAGATAAGATTCTCCTTTAATAGATACTATATTAGTCATGCCTGTGGTCCCAGCTGCTTGGGAGGCTAAGGTGGATAGATTGCTTGAGCCTGGGAGGCAGACATTGCAGTAAGGTGAGAATAAGATACTACATTTTATCATCAAAATTATGCTTAGCTTCACTTTTTTTTTTTTTTTTTTTTTTTTTTTTTTTGTCTTTTACTTTGCAGCTCCAGCTGAAAGGATTAGCTTCACTTTTAAACATTTTTGGCCAGGCGCGGTGGCTCACACCTATAATCCCAGCACTCTGGGAGGCCGAGGTGGGTGGATCACCTGAGGTCAGGAGTTTGAGACCAGCCTGGTGAAACCTAGTCTTTCCTAAAAATACAAAAATTAGCTGGGCGTGGTGGCACACACCTGTAGTCCCAGCTACTCAGGAGGCCAAGGCATGAAAATCACTTGAACCCAGGTGGTGGAGGTTGCAGTGAGCCAAGATCATGCCACTGCACTACAGCCTGGCTGACAGAGTGAGATTCTGTCTTTAAAAAAAAAAAAAAAAAAAATTTACCATCTTAACCATTTCTAAGTGTATAGTAGCATTAAGCACATTCACGATGTTGTGCAGCAAATCTCCAGAATGTTTTCATCTTGCAAACTAAGCCTCAGTACCCATTAAACTTAGCTTGACTTTTGATATGTAATTTTTTATGTGTTTTCTGTTTCCTTTCTGTTTTATTAACATGAAGTTTCTGGACCAGCAGAGCTGAAGGAACCCAAACTTGGACTGAAGTGACCTTGCTAAGGTAATGCCTCCTTTTGACATCCTACCTGGGCCAGTGGCAGACCCCTCTCCCTGACAATGCTGGGTCCAGGGCTCCAGGCAGCCAGGGGAAGATGAAGACAGGCACTAATTTCCCCCTTGAAGGGTTGGCCCTGGGTACTTACACACACATTGGTGCCATCCTCACCCAAATGTTTCTATGCATGACCAGTTGGAATCACTATGGAACATGGAAAAGCTTTTCCCACAAAAGAAGTTGTCATCTTCGGGCGGATCACGAGGTCAGGAGATCGAGACCATCCTGGCTAACACAGTGAAACCCCGTCTCTACTAAAAAATACAAAAAACTAGCTGGGCGAGGTGGCGGGCGCCTGTAGTCCCAGCTACTCGGGAGGCTGAGGCAGGAGAATGGCATAAATCCGGGAGGCGGAGCTTGCAGTGAGCTGAGATCTGGCCACTGCACTCCAGCCTGGGCCACAGAGCGAGACTCCGCCTCAAAAAAAAAAAAAAAAAAAAAAAAAAAAGAAGTTGTCATCTTTGAAACCCTGAGCACTCTCATGCATTGGAACTCAGCTATGATTTTCTGGAGGGCAGTTTGATGGTGTGTATTAAAAACCTGAGCCATGGGAGTTTGAGACCGCCTGAACAGCATAGCAAGTCCCTGTCTCTACCAAAAATAAAACAAAACAAAACCAAAACCTGAGCCATGGACCTACTCTGACCCAGTGGTATATCAGGATTTTATTTTAAAGGAAAATAAAAACGTGACATGTTCAATGATGAGTGTGTGAGTGTATAGGATGTTCATTGCCACATTGTGTATAAT